AGGGATACAGGTGGACCCATTGCAACAATGAGATGTAAAAGTTGTTATGTCAAAAAACGAACTTTACAACTTTGGGGGGGGGGTGGGAAGGGATGGGAAGGGGAAACAAAGGAGGAGGCAACAATGCTTGATAAATGTACTCATTATCTTGCCCATGTAATTGTAACCCCTCTGTACAGTATTTGATACAGTAGTATCAAAGGAACTGGACAGCAAGTCCATGTATCAACTTCCTTATCATTATTTTGCATATTTTATACTGATAGCTATGGATAAGCTACTCACTGCTGACCTGTCAGCCAGAAAGAACGTAGTGGTGTGTTTGCAATAAAGTTGTATTTTCTGTGCCAGCGACAAGGTAAAAAGAGTCTAAGGATATGTGGGTCATGTCTTAAAAGAAGCTAAATCAGGCTCTTCACTAATGACATATATAATTACTTGTCCAAATCCTTTCCTTAGAGCATTAAGCTTTCTACTGATGCTAGGCCATTACTGGTTCTAGGTCAAAAGTTTTCCTTTTAAATTTGACAGTGTTAAGCATAGTTCAGATATGTACTTTTTAATCATTTGTAAATCACTAGACATATTAAAGTATTTGTCTTCCCTCAGAAAAGGAAGTATATCTCAACTGCTCTTTGTTTCATCATAAGTAGACTATAATCTCCATTATTCATAAAATTTAGTTATAAATCGTAAGAAATTGTTTTACATGAACAACTTAGACCACTATGAATACACTCAGCAAGAAATTCAAATTTATTTGATGGGTTGAATTTAAAGCCCTTTGTACAACTATATAAAGATAATTCCAAAAAAAAGATGGATAATTTAGTTAAATTTAGAACTTTCCTAGCAAATCAATTTTAACTTCTAAATTAGGAATACTGTTTTTAACAATAAAAGAAAGCAATATAAAAGAAAATAAAAGGTGAATTTCTAACTTCCATAGCCATTGTGTATAGGCTAACTTCCTCCTACATGGAAGCCATCGTTCCATTATCATTGCAAAGAAACAATTCTATCTAAGAAAGTTAAATAGGTGATTGTGGTGGAGAAAACAGGTATATACTTAAGAGTACTTTGGGGTTTTCTTGTTTTCTTTTGTTTGCAGTGCTGGGGATAGAACCCAGGGACCTGAGATGCTGGCAAGTGTTCTACCACTGAGCTTCATCCCCAGCACTTACACAGATAAAGCTATCCTGATTCACTCTATTGTCTATTCCCATTGCCATTATTTTATTAGAATTCTTTCATAGAGACCTCATGGAGTTGCATGTCATTAACTCAACACACGGGATTCATGATGTACTATTCACGATATTCATGATATACTATTGAGACAATCGTCTCCAATGTCAAGCATAGAAACCTGGACAAGGATATGGGAGAGGACAGAAGATCTGAAACAGATGTACGGGAATTGGCAGGCCTCGGGTCCCAGAGACTCACAGAAGGTCACGAGCCAAAGAGCCATCTTAGTTAGAATAGAGAAGGGGGAAAGGGAGAAGAAAATCTCGTTGCAAGTGGGGTGACAGGAATCTGCAGACTGTTGAAGACTGCCCGCAAAGCCCTCGACGAGGAAGATCAGAGCTGGAAACGTCAGGAAAACTAATTTCCTGAGAAGACTAAGAAGAACGCCTCAACGGAAGAAAAGCGGTGAGCTTCCAGGGAGCCTTAGCAGGAAAAGAGAGGCAGGAAGAGGAACCCCACCCAGTGTGCGCGTGCGCAACACAGACGCAACCCCACAGACGCAACCCCACCCAGTGAGCGCGAGCGCAACACAGACGCAAGCTGAAATAGCCAGCCAGGGTTTGGAAACTACACAGAAGCAAAGAGCGGCAGACTGCCTGAAGTCAAGTCAAACTTACACTTGTAAAAATCAGAAATAAATAGAAACGGTGGAGTTCTGAGAGGGGCTGATGGATTTCACAGTTAAAGAAAACGCAATATTTTGTGTACTAGAAATCATATTTTTAAAACTTGAGAGCAGCAAAGCAGAGCGCATCCTAGGCCTGAAGGTCAGGCTGACTTTCCTCACTGTGTGCGCACGAAGCTGATCCCAAAATGACCAGCACCAAGAAAGAATCTAAGAAAATTCCTGGGTTTGAAAGATTATCTTCAAAGGAAGATAATCCCTTAAGCATCTGGACAAAGAAAGATCATTTCACTTATTTTAAAAAAAGAGAGCAAGAGAGAACTCAGCAGTTTACCATCAGATTTGTCCATCACACTTTATATCCAAAGAGCATGAAGTAATATATTTAAAATACTCCAGGAGGAAAAAGTCTAAATCCAGGATGTTATATTTAGTCAAAATTATCTTTAAGAGCAAAGGCCCTATTCCAGGCATACTGGTTGGTGCCCATAATCCCAGCTACTAGAGAGGCAGAGATGGGGACATTGTGGTTCAAGGCCAACCCAAGCAACAACAACAACAACAGTAATAATAGTAATAATAATAATAATGTTAGCAAGACTTCATCTCAAAGAACAAGCTAGGCATGCTGGCTCATGTTTGCAATCCCAGCCATGAGGGAGGTATAGGTAAGAGGATCACATATAAGTAAAGCCCCCACCAAAAGCGTGAAACTGGCCAGGCACTGGTGGGTCACGCCTGTAATCCTAGCTACTCAGCAGGCTGAGATCTGAGGATCAAGATTGAAAGCCAGTCCAGGCAGGAAAGTCCATGAGACTCTTATCTCCAATTCATCACCAGAAAACCAGAAGTGGCACTATGGTTCAAGTGGTAGAGTGCTCGCCTTGAGCTGAAGAGCTCAAGGACAGCGCCCAGGCCCAGAGTTCAAGCCCCACAACCAGCAAGAAAAAAAAAGTGAAAGGACTGGAATTTTAACTAAAGTGATACAAACCCTGAGTCTAGGACCACTACCATGAATAATAATAATAATAATGTTCCCAAGAAAACTATTAAAACTCTTAATGTATAACAACTCAATGAATGTTTTCTCATGAACTCTTCCTGAGAAGTTTATGAGAGAACATTTCAAACAAAAAAAGTTACATTAACATAAAACTAATAGTAGTGGATAAGTATGTGTGTGAGAGAGACAGACAGACAGACACGGGGTGGATTAAGACTGCGTGAGGATTAGGAGGAAGAGATCATGGCTGAGGTGACCATATGTGTTTGTGATATAAGTGTCATATAATTATTAGAAACATTGGGGGTGAGATTAGACAGAATGTGAAAATTTGAGGAAGTTTTTAGACCCCAGGGCCGCATGGGTGATGTTACCTGAGATTACCTGTGTTGTCTCCCAGCTGATTCCTTTGCCCCCTAAAAGCTTCCAGCACCTCCTCTGCCAGTCTACTCCTGAGTCAAGCCCTAGCTGAGGCCACACCCACCATACCCTGTAGAATTGCATCCCTCCAGCCAGCTCAGGACTTCTAGCCTACAAGACCCACTGCCCGCCCACCCCCTGTCTTTTCCCGCAGAATAGTAACATGCTCTCATGTCTTCATGTTCAGAAAAACCTCTACAGTCCCACTGCCTCAGTAGCTGTAGCTGCTGCTGGGGACTGTGCCCCGGCCGGCTCCCCAGATGTCTCCAGTAAGGCCCTAGACCACAGAACCACAACGAAGTAGCCCTCACCTGTCACAATGCAAGCTGCATCTCTAACACCAGTGAGTGCTCTGCAGTGGCCTTGGACGAGTTCATCACCAGGTCCTCCCTGAGGGCTGTGTGCCCTTGGCACTCACTGGGCCTGTGGTCTCCTCATCCTCCTCCTGCCCCAGCCGCTGCTGTGTTTCTGTCTCTGGGGCTGGCATCTTATCTCTCCACGGCTCCACAGTGTGCAGTGTCTCATCTCGGCTCTGGGTTTGTAAGATACTGAGTCAGAGATTTGTAATGCAAAGCAGACTTCACCAGAATCAGAGATGTCACCTCGTGTCACGTGCTACTCATATACTCAAGGATGCAGGGAATTCAGAGACACAGGCGAAGCATGGAGAAGCCCAGATCACCCACACAGACTCTCAGGTCCCAGCATGTGTTTTAGGATGTGCTCCAGGCGAGTTTTATATCCAAGGACTCTACATAATCCAGGGGCTCAAGTTCCAGTCACAGTCTTGGACCTAAAGAGAAAAAAGAAAAGAAACAGCCAATGCTTTATGGGGTTGGAGGCGTGGCTCAGTTGGTAGAGCACTAGCCAATGAGCAAAAGCAGCAGGGACCTAGTCAGAGACCCAGTCTCAGCACTAAAAAGAGAAAAAGAAAAGAAATCCATAGACATCACCAATACTTAACCTCTGAGTTATATAAATTGCTTCTACACTCAGTAAAATACCTTCATCTCATGCACTCATTACCACCTACATTATGACTCCTTCTGGAGAGCCTTACCCATCAATCCATGCATTACCCATCAATCCGTGCATTCTAATCCTCCAGCCATGTGCCATCTCAGACTCCGCCATGGGGAAGATTCTGTGAGGTTCCTGTGTGGGGGCCATCAGCCTGTGTGCAGAGGTCTGGCCAGGCTGTCTTTCTTCCATTCTCAGGACCAGAGAAGTGAGCAGATGGGGGAGAGCCTGCTGACATTAGAGTGCACCACAACCTCCTGTCTTCTAAATTCCAAATTCAACCTGCCAACGAGCCGCCCAGCCTGCTGACTAACCTGTGTGTTAGGTTATAGAACTTGAGTACAAACAGGCGAGAAATAATGACTGAACTGACTTCACTCCCAACACGCACGCACACACACGCACACTGCACACATACCCCTTGGCTACTAATATGGACAGGAAAGAAATCCTGTACTCAAATGCTATGAGCCTTTGGCGGTCACAGTCCATTACATTATCTGTATACTAGATTCTCAATTACTTTGGCAACATACTCACCTTGTCAGTATACTTAGTACTCAATATCATTTTGTGTACCTAGTTGGTACTCGATCACTAGATACTCAGTCCTCGATCACTTTGTGTACTTAGTTGGCTCTTGTCACTTTGAAAGCTCACTTTGCCCTTTGTTTCTTGCAGTACAACCGGTACCAGCAGTACGGGGCGGAGGAATGTGTGCTGCAGATGGGGGGCGTGCTGTGCCCCCGCCCGGGCTGTGGAGCAGGCCTGCTGCCCGAGCAGGGCCAGAGGAGAGTCACCTGTGAAGGGGGCAACAGCCTGGGCTGTGGGGTGAGTACTGACCACCCAGGAAGCTGGGCTGTGGGGTGAGTACTGACCACCCGGGAAGCTGGGTGTTTGTGCTACTTGTCTTTGCTTTTGTGAATGGGCTGTGATTCTATTTTTGATTTTTACCTTTGGACTCAAACATCTGTGAATATATATATATATATATATATATATGAATATATCTATCTATATAGATAGATAGATAGATAGATATTTAGGAAATAGATTTTTAAAAATTCTTCCATACAGCTCCACATATGAAAATATATGTATTTATTGGGGAAGGGCTATAGTTGCATGAAGATTTTCTGCTTTATTTGTTCGTGGCAGTATTTATTCAGAGATGCTGTGAACCACAGTCATAGTGGTTCAGCAGGCTCGGGAAGTTGTGTTAAAGTAGACAGAAGTGAAGGAGACCTCTTGGGCAGGCCTAGGTAGCATGACCTGCATAAGTGTTTGTTTGTTTAAGTAAAGATGACCAAAGTTAATGGTGTCCGTTAGGGAGCTAGCATAAGAAATGCCAAAAACATTCCAAGAGGTCAAGTCATAGCACCTGATCAGTGATGGGAAGGGATCTTTATCTGCTGGCCTGGAGGTGAGAGGAGGAAGCGGCTTGCTAAACTATAGATCGAGATGCCAAATGGTTGCTTGCCCTGATACAGAGCACAGAGAGCCCGGAAAAGAGGGAAAGGCACATGTGCTTATAAAATGCCACTGGTCTGCGTAGAAAACATCTGTCTCACAACCGCAACTTGGTGAGTCATTTTATGGAAGAAGGCATGAAGAGTAGCGGCTATCAACCTAGGCCTGAGTTTTGGCTGGCCACCACCAGTCACTTTCACACAAGCTGCCCTGTGTCGCGTCCGCTTGCGCTCCTTGTCTGTGGAGTGACATGTCTCCTAAAACCCTGGGCTGAGCAAGGGAGCGTAAGCAGAAAAGGATGAGAAATGTGTATATCTTAACAAGCACAGCGCATCAGAATGAAAACTCCAATCATTCTGGCCAGCCCCAGAGGCTGTGGAGAGTCAACTGCTCTTCCCGACCCCGGTCACTGTCCGCTGGGGTGTCACCCACCCCGATGGTGAGTGACCTAGGCTGGCAACGAATGCAGGGTCAGAATTCCCACCAATGTTTTCTCTTCATATGAGTTACAATCATGGGAGGTTGTTGTCTGACTGTGTCCTTCTGCTGCTGATTATGTACCATTGTCCTAGTTCGCATAGCCTGGGATCTAAGAGTTTGACTTTCCTCACTGGTAGACAGTATCCACATCCCATCTTGTGTTGAGTTGTTCATTTCGCTTAGAGAACTTTAAAAGATTTAGGTGACTTTAAACTTTGTGGATTTTTATCTTCCTTTAACAGCAACAATAAAACACACACACACATACTAACACACACACATCTAAACATAAGCCCCACAGTGTGACATTGTGAGTAACCTATACACTTAAGCCCCAAATCATTGGAAATTGTGTGTCAGGAATAAAGCGAGTTATTTCACCCCATGTCAATTGAGAGTTTAGGGGCAAGAAGTGTGCATCAAAGAGGATGGCGTGTTCAGCCTGGTCCTTTGTCCACTGGAGTGCCTATGCATTGAGTTGTTTTTTCTTTTTTAAATTCTGTTTATTGTTTTGGGAGAGACTCTTTTCAGTTTGTTTGAGTTACCAAGTACCATGGAACATCTTCAAATTGAGATAGCTTAATCTAATAAATATAGTATCTGATATAGTATAGTTAATATAATACTTAATAGTGATGAATATTAAATATACATAATAAATATTTACTATTGGCTCATTGTCAGGAGTGGCTTGGCCATGTGATTCTGGCTCGGGGTCCCTCATGAGCTGAAGAGCCATTCTGGGATGTGTTCATTCTGATGGGGGAGGCGTGCTCAGATCACAGTTCCTCACATGCTGTCTTCTTCTTGGGCTGTTTGTCCCCACAGTGACAGCTAGCTCTCCCCCAGAGAAAGCTGTCCAACAGAGAGTGAGGAGGGAACCACAGATCTAACTTGATCATCTTACCCCGCCGTATCTCTACTAGGCCCTTTCAGGAAGAGAGGAGCTGGGCTTTATCTTTTAAAAGAAAGAACCCATGGGCATATTTTAAACCACCACTGTGGTTTAAAGAAGCTGAAATCAGAACAAAGAAAATGAGTTTCCTATGGCCACATCTAAATGTAAAATATTGTGTGCTTGTTTTATACTTAATAGTGTTTAGCATAGAGTAAGTGCAGATTTATTTAATATTTAACCGAAGGATTACCCAAAAGACAAATATTCAAGGAAAATTGACTACAGGACGTTCATTTGATCAATCTTCCCAGATAGCCAAGAATCTACCCCTGAACCGCACCAGACCAGCAGCAGAGAATTAGGCATGTCCACCCCATCCTGCAGCCCTTCAAAGGACTGCTTTTCAGAAACAGTACTTTGGAACATCGCAGTTTGTTCATGTTCTGGTCACCACACAGGAAATGTGACGTCTGTGGGTCCAGTGAGCATTCCTGAGGAGCCGTGCTGATGGCTGCCAGTCTGTCTGAAGGCCAGCAATTCCCAGCTTGACTGAATGGGGTGCAAGAAGAGGTGCCATTAGGCACAACCTCACAGAAAGATGGCAACCCTCTTGCCTGAAGGAAGGAAGTGTGGCCACATTAACACCAGCGGCTCTCAGCGCATAGTGTACGATTCCCTTGTGGGGGATTTTAATCCATCTTTACTTAATATTTTCCTAAACTGTTAACAGAGAGAAGAAGTTCAACTCTTATTACATGAATATGCAAGACATGTTTCATGTTCCTGGAAGGTTCTCCTATAAAAAGCCAGATTTACCACTCTTCAGAAATACAGGAATGTCCACTGGAAGATGGAAATGAGATGCCCGAGCCTGTGCCCCATCCCTCCACCGTGGGGTGAGCGCGTGCGTGCGCGCGCACACACACGCACACACACACACACACACACACACACACACAGCACATGCAGACCAGGGTTCCCCTGCGGGCGACACTGCTGATCCATCCAAGCAAGGCCAGACAGTGTGTGACGCCACTGCAAACTTGTCACCATGGTAGAGTGACTAGAACAAGTACCACCTGCTAGGGTTCCCATTGGAATGTTGTAGACATTCTTAGCTTTATATTCCTAACCTCAGTCTATGTTTTTGCCCTCAGCAAATTTATGTATTGAGGATTTAATCTACATAGTGAGTTATTAATGAGTGAATAGTAACATGTAAACGTGACAGAAGTAGTGATCAACTTTATTTGCCATTATTAATCACCAGTTATTGTAGTATTAAAATTGCTTGCCTTTGAGTCAGGTGTGGTGATACACACCTTATAATTACCAACATTTGAGAGGCTAAGGCAGTGAAGTTGTAATTTTAAGGCCAGCCTGAGCTACGTAGCAAGAGGGGAAAGGACACAGGGGAGGGAAGGGGGAGAGGAAGAGAACAAAGAAATGTTTACCTTTCCTCAACAAAGACCTCCTCAAAATTAATTTAGGCACTTGCATATAGTTTTATAGCATGTAATGTTTTGGTAGCCACACAATACATACTTCAGAGTACCGGCAACATGCTACATTCAGAGATCCACAAAAAATTCACCCATGATATGGAAGTACCACAGAAATTAGAGCTCCCAAACCTTCAGAAGGGAGGCAGGATGCACACAGCCAGATGCAGAGGTCTGCACAATCAAACATATATATCTTACTCATGCGAGCACCAACATTTCAGCTTTGATTCAGCACAGAATATTTTTACGACAATAGAATTCAACGAAGAATTATATTTAGGGATCAAACAGTCTGACCTCACTCTTGGCTAACCCTTGATCATATTTTTACTATTGCTCATAAAAATATTAATTGATTTCCTGAGGAATTCATGTTATACATTATCCGTTCCTCTGGCCTTGCTGCTATTCATCAGAACTATCTCACTAACTTTTATGATTCCAATGCAAAATGTTGACATATTTAATACTGGAAGGCAACAACAAAATATAGAATGCATTATACCCAGTGACTAGAGAATGCTTGCACAGAGCTGTGGCGATCCAACCTCATGAGTTTCCCATAAATAAAACATCTTTATCTTATTTCGATGCTAGCTTGGAATAGCAAATGTCTGGAAGATTATGTTCCTTTTAAATAATATTTGAAGTTGGAAGAATAATTTTCTGTTTCATATTACAAGTTCAGGGACAAGACTTAACAACAACTGGAAAAAAATAAATGGAAAGGCTTTTAATGTCCTATTAGGTTAAGGAAATTAAGTAGAATCTCTTAAGACATCTTTTGACTACACTTTCCTGAACAATACTAACTTCTGTTGCTCAAAGGCAGACTTACTGGGGAATGAGGGATCTACTTAACCAGCTTTCTCCCCTGTGTAGGCCCCTCTGTATCCTCTTAACAAAGTGTGTCTTCTTCCATTGCTTTCCTTAAAGAGGGTCTCAGAAATTGTATAAGATCAAGTTGTAGAGGCCTCCGCAAACCTGGATTTAGAAAGACTTGGGTACCTAGTTCGTGTGCTTTTTTGTTGGTTGCGGTGATTATGAACCACTTATGACAATAGTGTTAATATATTGCTGACAATTTTGATCAAATGAAGGTTGGGCCTCATTTTTACCCTTCATTTTGTAAGAAGTAGATGAAGAAACACGCTGATACCTAGCCATTCACACAAGAGACCTATTTTTTAATTTTTTTATTTTTATCATCAAGTAATTGTACAAAAAGGTTTCAATTTAACATGTTGGTTCTAACTAACTATTGAATCAAAAGCTTAAATGACCAAATTAGATGTAAAGCCCTCTTTTCAATATGAGGTTCAGAAATGAAAAGTTAGCAGATGGTCAACATTTAATAATGAAACGAGGAAAGAAAATGGCTGTCTTTCCTGTACTTTAAGAGTTTTACTTTTTGTAAAAGTACATAATTTAAACTATGTTGAGATATTCTGTGAACTCTATTGTGTTCTCTCCTAGAG